AATGAATAGTACCACCGTACGCCACTAAACCACCAGTAGCGCTGCCAGCGCGGCCGCAAGCACCGCCGCCGCCATTATCATTACATTCCAAACAGTCTCGAAATGCACATTCCGACCACGTAAACTTAAGCCGTAGGATTTATTTTGTTTACGTTCATTACGAAATCTCTTGTTCGCCGTGTTCATTGATTACTTTGTTTTTCTCTATGTCGTTCCAGGGCTTTGTGGGTAAGTCGTTACTTACTCGGTCGGTAAGTAGCTGCATTATTTCGAAAGGTGGAGGAAAAGACGTTACGCCAGGCAGTGACACGTGTGGTTCGAGAGTGGCTTCGGTATAACTCTGCCAGACGCACAGGATGTCTCTTGAGAGTTTTCATCTTAAAAATCGATCCATCCTCGTGAAGTTTCATTCCAGTCTGTCGTTTAGTGGATACCTGACTATCTTCGATTAGGTTATTAAGTCGTCGCCGGAGTGAAACGAGGCTTGCCCGAGGTATAGTATGTGTATACAGACGTACCGACCTGATCGTTTAATAAAACTTAAATTGTATAACCAAGAACTACCACCAGAGTAAAACGACTGACTGTCCCTTCAGTATTTACTACTGCTAGAGCTTTCTCATACTCATTTGCGTTTACTGGCGTTTCTTCCTCTTGCAGATAAGGGGCACGGTCTTTATTTACTCTGATGCGACGCTGCTGTCTGACGTGGACTACTTGACTGTACGAAGCACGGGCAAGTACGAGTGGGGTGTCTTTTAAGGGGATACTCGACATTAAATGTATTCCGGAAGTGCGTTTCTTTGTGAATTGAAAAAATTCTTAAATTTTCATACAGCATCATCAACAGGGCTGCATTAAATATCGCTGTAACAGTGGAATCGAATTCGGAGCTCGTCAACGAGATAATAAATAATTTTCCACGACGTGATGAGAAATACATTCAATTAATTCCCAAGCGTCCCCCGCGTCTTTTCGAGTCGTTGTACCAAGAGCGAGTTCTTGAAATGCGATCTTTGGTATTCTGATTGTCTTAATAAAATAACCCGAAATCGCTTCGATATAAATTACCTCGGGAATTTCTCCCGTTAACGACTATCCCTCTTTTTCGTTCATTTCGACGTCTTATCTTCTGTCACTCGCGGCTGTCGATTCGCTCGTTTTTCAATTCTCCCAAGTAGGTATCATGCAATTTGTATACTCTGAATATTTTCATTTTAGGCCTAATGAAAAAAGACTGCCAGGACGAAAATTTCATTCTCGATGAAATATTATAACAGCCATCGGGACGCAATACCGAGGAGTCCCTTGATGAGTCTATAGTCACCATTTTCGAATCCCAGCTGAACACGCTAATCGGCCTGCATTACTGTATTATGGCTAACCCAAAACCCAACTCTGAGCGATGCTCAATCAATTAGTACACAGTACGTGCTAACTGGAATATTAATTGTACCTTGCGATAATTCATAATCATTCATCGTACATGGAACTATGAAAGTAACTATGGTAATGCTTCTGGGAATGAAAAAAAAGAGGAAGGTACTTTTATTAATTATCAACAGTCAAACAAGCTGTATCCACTTTTTATACAGTCACTGTAATATTCTACTATGTCTAATTATATATATATTCACACAGGACATCAGCCAACTTCTCCTGTAACTGCAAACCACGGTCGTACACACAGGTCTTGCAACTCCCTTGGAGGGTGTAGTCTTCTTAGAGAAGCATTTTTCATTTCGCTTCATGACCACAAGAGGCGTTGCGATCAAGCGATCCGTTCCTATTTCTCTCTCCCACAGCCGATTGTAAAGTGAGATAGATAAGGGGTCGCTCGATCACAGCGACGCTTGTGACTAAAATTTGAAATGTGCCGTGCTTCGAAACCACGTCTACCCCCGCCGCTGAAAATGGGGCGAGTTGCAAGACCTGTATGTGAGACCGTGCTGCAAACTACCGGTTGGCTATAGTTTCCATTGTCAGCCACTATTCAAGAACACTCACCCACTTCCGGTTCGTCCATTGACTCACTTCTCACGTCTTAATCTACAAAACGACTGGCGTTTTACCTACCGGATCCATTGAAGCGTTGACGAGCGCCGTAATGGGCACCCATTATACTTCACACCCAAGAACCAGTTTATCTTCGTTCGTCGCATCGCTTGATAATTAGTTATAGCAGACTCACTGAGAGTTTACGAATAATTTATAAATATAACGTAATTCTGCGATGTTACGTATTAATGGCATTAAGATTTACGAATCTACCTGAAGATATTTTGCGCTTGATTATTTCGAACAACGTGTACATATGCGCCGAGTAGATAAATGACGAACGCTTGGAATCTGTGCTAATCGATTCGTGACGTCACTGTCCGGAAAATGGGGCTCTCGAAGCACAGTATCAGCTTGTATCGTATAATAAATCGACTATAGGCTAAGTGTAATGTAATGTCTGAGGAATTTATATAATGTGTGCCTTGTATGGCTTGTGGTTGGTATATATGTACGCGCAGGTATCACTATGTGCTTTAGCTTTATTCGTACGTACTTTAAGTCTAGGTTATATATCTTTAACGATATTTATGAATCCTGGGAAGATTCGTCACGTGGAAACCAATCTGATCGCATTGATCAGACCGTATCGGCTTACGTGGAATCAGACAATTCTAAATGGTTGGTATGAATCGATACGAATCTATTCAGGTATTCGGAGGGATACTTTTTATTACAGTTTGATATTGTCTTGTTAATTGGAAAAATTGAAGAATTATAAGAGATCTTTAGAATTAAAAATTGATATCTTTATAAACAGAAGGTACATCTAGGTTAAGTGTGCGTATATATATTTTTAACAATGATAATGACGAGACGAAGCTTCATCGAAAGAAAATACGTGACCTATTGACTGATATCGATGAGAATCGAGTATCGCGTATATTTTCTCTCAAAGAAATATCTTGAAAACGCATTTCACGAGGATCCAGTGCAATTTGTTCGGCGGCAACCGAGACGTGTCTATTGTTGAAAATTCTTTCTTTAAAGTTATTCCGTTCTATCAAGTCCAACTGCTACATCGACGATCGGGCAATTAATTGTAACGAGCAATTTCAGTTTCAACGTTTTATACGAAAAGGTCTCCTTTTCTCTTTGTGGGAATTTTTCTTACCTTACACTGTTATCGGAAATAGTAGCTTCCTATTTTTTTTCTTCTTCTTCTATTTGCTCTTTGTCAATTCCATTCTGCCCGAGATACCGATTCGCTTACAGCCACCTGAAGACCCCTGGAACTTTTCTTCTCGTAAACTGCGCAACCTGAGGAGATATGGCATATCGAAATTTTCTATACCGAATCCATTGTCCATGCGTTATCACGGTGTAAATGGTTATAGTATATTGTTTCAAGCAGATAGCTGCTGAACCAATTCACATATGTATCCATTGCGTATACCTTTGCACGATATATCGAAATGGTTAGGGTAAATACATACGTATAAGAAATGTTATTTTTTGGAAATGATTCTCAGTTGGCCCCAGGGTAATGGCTGGTTGCGATTGACGATATCATAACGCACATACTTTGTAATTGCTTCTTTCGGTGCGCGGTATACATAGCAGTTATATCGTAAACTGATAAAGCTATGCTGGCGATATTAAGTTATTTTATACTGTCATATTATTTTTCATTATTACATTATTCGGGTAATTGTGAATCTGCATTTTTGCGGTTACCTGCCATTATTTGCATGGCCAGGTCGTGCTGCGAATTTAACGTTATACTGGTCAATTTTGTCTCTCTCTATATATACGTGTATCCTTATTTCTCTCAGCATCCAGTAACACTCAACATCATTTTCCAGAGCGTAACGCTTTCCTTTTTTTTTTTTTTCTTTTCCTTTTACTCAAGTATCTACTTTTTCTCTTCACATTTTAAATTTTCTCCACTGCGAACTTCCAACTTATCATCGCGCACCGAATGTCCCGGAGAATTTGTGGCAACCAGTTGCAGCTGGTGCTCGCTCGCTGCACACGTACAGGTAGATGCGAACATAATAAAACGGCATTTGAAATGAGAAAAAAAAAGAAGAAGGTATTACCATAAAACATGGAAGTTGGGAAGAAAAAAAAAAATGTGAACGAAAAAACAAAAAGTAGGAAAGAAAAAATAATATCCTAAGCTCTTGAAACGTCACTTCTCGAATATTTGAAAATTTTTAATCGCCAAAATTATCGAACATCCGAACCACGCGTTCGGGGCTACGGTTAGCCAGTACTTGGCCAACGGGTTTGGGAAGCAGCCCGCTGCCGCGGCCTTGTTACCGTGAAAATGTAAAACGGAAATACTCATTCGTGTTCTAAGCGTTGCATCCAATTGAGCGGTACATTCGGGCCATTAATTTCGATTGATTTTGCGTTTGGGCATCTCCGCTCGTTTTAACCCGATTCTCAGTGTTATTACTTCGTGTGGCGAAACCTATCGGCGAATTGGATTTTACAATGGGGTCATCCGCGAATTATATAATTTATCGATCACGCATTACATCCGCATTATTTTGCACAGCCTGGCCGACCCAGGTGTCGCAAATTTTTTGGCTAATCGGTCAATTATTATAATCCTCACCAATATCCTTCTCGAGTTCATTTGCCATTTTTCATCGTCCCCCTTCTGATAAGCAGATCCATTACTCAGATGCATAAGTGTATGCAACTGAGGTTGCATAAAAAATTTATTCATATACGTGCTCGAAGATTGGCAAAGAGGGCGGTATCACTATAGCTATATATATATATATATAGTGGTACCGGCCGTTTAAAAATTTCTCATATGCAATATAGTCTCTTTTTTTTTTTTTTAATTTAATCTAAAGGATCTTATATATCGCTAACAACGCGCACGCGATAAGAATAATGCATTTTGTATTTTTATTCTCATCAGGGCATACCATCTACTGGCTGCAATTTTTGTAATTCTTTTTTTGTTTTCTTTATGTTTACAGAGATCCCCGGTAGGTGGAGGAGGCACTGTCCGCACGGACCGAAGCTGTCCGACCCTGGCTGCAACCTGGTGGACGAGGGCGTGACAACGGGAACCGGAAGTGCAGCTGGAGCCGGAAAGTGTGTCTGCGGACCGTCTGTACTCTGGTGTCCTGACGAACCCCAACCCTACACCTACAGGACGCGTCACGAGTGCAAGCTCAATTTGGCAGCGAAAGCTGCTTATGGTGAGTAACCTTCCTTTTTTTTCATTTTAATTTATTCAGCCCCTCCTTATTTGCTTTCTTATCAGCATTATCAGCAATCAGCATATCAGCAATTCCCAGCTATACGTGCAAGATCATTAAAACCCGGATATCCGCTCGTCTTTTTATTTGCACTTTGCTCCAACCCCCCTTTAGATCCCTGCCAACCCCCCCGAGTGGTCCACGGAGCTTTACACTTCATTCGATGATCGTGTATGCCGAAGGGATTATAAAGGCGTATATATGTTTGTCCAACGTAATCGGTACGGACACGTGAGCTTTTGAGTTTGCCGATGCCGCGCCGATGCCCGGATACTTAATCCGTGAATGCACGGAGTGAATAACATTGACGGTACAGACGAATATTAGCCCAATTTTATAAGAATGGACCAGCGTCACGGCAGTGGAAAAATTGCGAAAGTCCTTTCTTACGTGGTGAGTCATCCATTATTATTTTTTTTCATTCAGTCTCTCTTTTTCCATAGCTCCCACCTACACTGTCACCCGTGTGTCTGGGTCTCTGTCTTCTTCTTTGGTCCACGCGTCTCCTCTCTGCCTTTTTATTTTTTTTTTCCCCTTCATATTGTCAGGATCGTGAAAAAGAACGAGCGAGAGCGGAACGAGGGGCAGCCGCTAATGAAAAGAAAATATAAATAGAGCGAAGGTCCTGGCGTCGGTGGACGTGAGAAAGAAGAGAAGGAAAAGAGAAGAAGAAGAAAAAATGGTGAACCAAGGTGGGATGCTGCGTCCCTGTTAATGAGAAAAGGATACGCGACTAGGGGTACGGAAGGTGAGAGGGGCTTTAATTCTTGTCAAATGTTTCAGCGACCCTCCTTCGCTCGCGTCACTGATTAAAGATTGCAACTGTGCATGAGGATACAATGCGCCGTAGTCGGAGAAGATGCCGGAGCGGGCGAAGAGTGAATGACGAAGATTGGAAAAGACGAAGGAAACGGGCATGAGGTGGTTTCGAGGCAGGATGGAAGATCCCGAGCCATCTCGAGCAGTGCAGAAAATTTCAACGGCCTCGTGGGATTTTTCCATCATCCTTTCTGCAACGCGTGCACGGCGACGCGCGAGGATCCGACGTGGAAGAAATAATTGGCGCAGGAGTCATTCTTCTCTTGGGGTTGGATAGCACGCTGCAGGATCGCGTCTCCTCAGCGTTACCGGGACAGAGGGCAGAGCGAATAACGAGGTTGTTGGGGCGAGTACGTTATCGGTGTACGTCGCAAAGGCAAGGAAGATGCCATGCGTTAAGTTTCGTTTTATCCAAGTTTCATCGAGCCGAGACGGCTAAGCCTTGGGGTCTTTATTTGTTCTCGTAGCGTCCCGTGGTGGGTCGGTAAAATCGTTAAGGGCTTGAAAGCGCGCAAGGACCAAGGAGCTGCCGGTAGTCGAATCGCGCGGAGGAACTTTAGCCGTAAGTGCACTTTCTTGTCCTGTAAGTGCGGCGCGAGTTACGTAAGCACTGTGCCGCTAGATATAGATATATATATAGGGGACTCGGACTGGCATTAGGCAGAATAACGTGGGGTTTCGGCGTGAATCGAGCTAGTTGGGGTTTGCGCATGCGCGATTGGACTATTGTAATTAATCAAGGCGTCTGTAAAGTTTAACGGAGGGACCAACAGGTTCGTTTAAAATACCTTGTTTCACGGGAGTGTATTAACCAGAGACGCACAAAAACGTTTTCATTTCGCGAAAAGCCTACACGGTTATGGCCTTAGGCTCAAGGAGGAGGAGGGCGGTCTCTTCTTAACGAAGCGTTCGGGTTACGTAAGGGATATCGAATTAATGAAATTAGTTTTACGTCATGTTCGTTATTGTACGTTAAGGGGTGCGAAGACTGATTATAATGAATCCGTGGTATATCTTTATCTGGGTTGATTATCTTCTTTTATTTTTTTTTTTCTTTCCGTTTTATCCTAAAGAAATATTTTGACAAATCTTTTTTTTCTTTTACTATTTTTCTTTGGTCATTCGACGAAATTCCCGTGCCTGTACGCACAGTGGCGTCAGTCCAAGTTTTTAGACAGCACAGCCCAACGTATCCAGTTATCGCGGAATTCCGGGCAAAACTCCATTATTCACGTGTATTCGTAATTTTACACTGTTGCGCAAACTCTCACGGGTAAAATGCCATTAACATTTTGGAAATAACTTTGCTCCACGCGCAATCAATCCTCCTTATTAAGTTCTGCTCTGTTACACTGACGCGAGGGGAACGTAACGAGGTGCGGGAGACAAAAAAAAAGTCCTTCTGAAAGATACACACCGGTGATTTATATGGACGCTTCTTGTCAATGCTCTCGGCATGGACCGCAGAATCCTTTCACTCTCATAGGATATCCTTAAAGCAGCGTGGGTCCTTCGCGAAATCTACGTTGGGAATACGGAGAGGAAGGTGGAGTCTCTGAAAAGAAAGAAAGAAAAAAAGAGAAATACAGGAAACTTTTGTACACAGAGATAGAAAAGCGTCACGAAGGGCTGAGGAGGGGAGGGCAAGAGAAAAAAATAAATAAACTTAATGAAAAATCCGCGAACGTATCCGAAACCTTTGACGTGAGGAACTAGCCCTGTTTCGCATGGCTCCTCGAGATTCTGCGTGCGTTCAGCCCTCGGCGTCCTACGGCGTCGAGACGCTGTCTGAAAATTCCATGAAAATTCGTCAGATCCGCTTTATGCTCTGAATGCGTAAAATCGAGCCAGTGTAAGGGTAAAGGATTGTTGCAAGGTGCACAGGGGTTACCAAGGCTCGATGTATACAAGTCATAGAAAACTATAGCTATACCAATACGCGGTATACTATGTACTATGTATTCACAGGAACCTTAGAAATTGTATACGTATAGTGCGCGACTCCTTGAAGGAGCCTTAATAGAAAATCTAGAATTTCAGGTTTTCAAACCGACTGTATTCGTATGAATGTACCTTTATATCTATGTCTATAAGTGTACATAGGAAACTAGAAACTAGTTTGATGAAATTAATGATAAATTACTATTACGAAAACGACGCGCTATATAATCGAATACAGGAAGGACTCACTGATCCTGAGAGACGTAACGAATATGTAATGAAAACGCATTTGCTACAGCTTACTCGATAAGCTCCGGTTCACGTATACACATATATATAAGCTTATTTGTAGCTCCGAGGAAAGGCGCTTATGAAAGCTCTCTCAGCCATTTCTTCACAGCCCTCCTGACCCTCGTGCTCCTCTACGACACCCATCCCTGTATCCTCGTGACCCTGTCATCCTAACCCTGTACACCTTTGGTTGACATTCTACGCACTTCCCTCGCGTTTCGGATCCAATCACCTTTTTTCTCTTCCTTCTCTCTCTCTCTCTCGCGCTAGAGAGAAACGACGTGACGTCATATTGCGCTTTCGATATCAAAGCTGCTGGCGCTGCAGGACCACACCTTTGTGCCTTTAGGAAACATCCAATTTATCCGACTTATCGTGCGAATGTACCTGGCTATTTATGCGAAGGAAATCGACGAAGAACTAAATATGTATATATAAATTGTATTGAGAAAAAGAAAAATTATTCATCAGCTCCGCGCGCGTATTCGCTATAGGAGTAAGGATATTTTTTTCTTGTTAATCCACATTGTAGTATAGGCACGTCCCTTACGTAACGTAGCGTCAATATATTCGGTTAGACGGCCGTACCACTCGTGTGATAAAATCCACTTGGTCCATAGTCATTATTCAAAATGAACTTTTCGTTATTCATATTCCAAGTGTATCTTATACGCATGCTTTCTGTTTTCGTTATGGGAACTCGAGACTCTTTTGAGCCTCGGGTAATTGTTAATTGTTATAATTATTATTTAATATCAATAGCGTGGCGCCCGAGGCCCTACTGCGTGTTCGCTGTTCTTTGTACGGGGTTATCTCGGTCGTTATTTTTTTTCAATAATTCGAGACGAAAAATATAAAAGATACAGGAGCCAATCGGACGGTTCGTTGTCGGAGGTCGGATTTGAAATTTCAGTTGCGGCAAATTAGGTCAGACGTCAATATTTATTTGATAAATGATCGATCTCCTCGTTCGTATACAATTGTACGTGAGCCGGTACTACGGTGTATTTAGGTATCTGCGTCATTCGCCCTTAAGCATACGGACCTGGATAGTCTCTACTGGATTATTCAAAATGTACGATATCTCGTTGTACGTGCATGCGGGATGCCCTGTATGCGGGATGCTTCTAGAACGAATGGAGATCAGCATTGCGGATGCAGATGTACTCGTGGCTAGTCTTGGGTCAAAGTGCAAAGGTGTAACGTCTGTAGCTACGTGTACTTGGGTTATACAGTGCCCGGTATAACACGTGTTGTGCTTTCTCTACGTGTTCGCAGAGGGAAGGGGAGAAATAATAAAAATAATTGAGTGAACTTTCGAGAAGGGTGCTGGAGATACTTTTTATTTTTTAATTTATTTATTTTTTTCGTTTTTACCTCAAAACTATATAATCTTGTACAAATCGTGTATTTTCGTTTGTTTTAGACGATCTCTTCAATTCACCCGAAAATTCGGCAGTTAACGGTGAGTAAGTTTAAGTCAATTTATTCGTCAATGCCTCAATTCAATGTGCTTAGTATTCGTAGACAATTAAGTGAGCACCGAGTATCGTCGACTATAGCGAGAATTGGTACAGAGACAGAAAGAGAGAGAGAGAGAGAGAGAGAGATGCTGGAGAGCAAAGAAATTCGCGTAACGTAACGAGTTCTTACCTCGCTTAATTCTATTTCCACCGTAAAAGTCAATTCCGGATGAAAATTAATGGAAATCGATGATGGCGTGTTGCGCAATTGCAAAGTCTCTCAGGAAGCATCAGGTTCGTGTAATACAGCATTATTCCGGTAAGCATTGAAATCTTGGAATTTCTTATGCCAATAGAGAGTATAACTGTACTCTCTGTAAGATTAAACGTCGTCCATCCCCAGCATCCGGTATCTGCTGTATCTCACTTTCTCGGGTTCACGTTCGAATCGAAGTAGCGACGAGTAATTCACGCCGAGCGGCCACTGTGCATACGGCAGAGCTACTCACGATCCGGACCCACGAAGCTCCTTAAGTTCCATAAGGACGAAGTTCAGCCACGTTGCCGAGTCGCCGTGGAATTAACGAGCTGCCGTAGCTTCTCACTCAGGCCCTTCGTCAGCTGCTTCCTATAGTTCAGACACGAACCTTTCGCCTCGTTCGGTGCAGCAGGATCTGCCAATCAAACAAGTAGAAGCGCGATTAACTTACGAGACTGCGCGACGTGGAAAACTTCTTTACCATCTTTAACTTTGCCATGTTGCCATCGCGCACTGCGACAGCGTAACGACCGCGTGTCGGGATCGTTGAGTTTGCGCGGGAACCGCAAACTATTTGAATCGAGCGACGGGGATAGATTTTGGTGAAATTTCCGTCGCTCGATGGAAAGCGAGCTTTAGCAATTTTTTTTTAACACGTTTGATTCACACGATCCACACGGCTCGGATTACTCTTAGGACATGGGAGAGTCGTCGATGGAGTATTGACATATATATATATATATATATGTATATTTGCATATATATTGTATACATTGGAATATATATACAGATAACGAGTCTATACAGCAATATTATGGTTGTACGATTGAAAGAATGGAAATGGAACAAGAATTTCGTCTAGTTTGTATCTGTACGTGAGGATGAGAGTGGGAGAATGTGTGTGCGAGAGAGAGAGAGAGATAGATAGATAGTAACTTGAGTCTCGTTAGGAAGTAAAATTCTCTTAATAACGAAAACGTCCGATAAGGGGTGCGTCTTTCGAGCAGGCTGTTAAAAGCGTTTGCTCCTGGCCGAGATAACAAACTACAGTCTGAAAAGGGGGAGTTGAGTTTGGTATAAGGTTTGAAGGGGCGTTGGGGAGGGGGAGTGGTTAGCAGGAGGGGGGGGTGGCTGAGGCCGTATACAGAGGATAACAAAGAGTTGCCACGATATACGAGAAAACTTTGACAATGGCTGAGTTGGCCAAGTTTTACAATAACATCGGCGAAACGAGCACGTTAAGGGGCGTTCTGGAAGTTGATAGAAATGTGTGCAGCCTACTAGAGACGGAACGAGATATATATATATTCAAAACATGCACGCACTCGTTACAATCGAGCAGCTTCTCAACGAATACGATTTAACAGGCTATGAATATGCGCGGCGAGGGTGGAGGGGCCGCGAAGAATATATTTTTTTTTGAAGAATTTTTTTTTCCAGTAATTTTGTAACTTATTTATTTTTTTTTCTCACAGTACTTCCCAATCTTGCTCTCAAGGCTGGCAGCACTTATATTCGTAGCTCGAGTCGCGAACTTTTATAATTGCAAAAAGTTGAAAGACTTCCCTTCTATGGACTGTCGAAGAACCGACGATGCGCTTCGGAATAAAGTTCACTCCGACTGCATTTGGTATTCGATTTTTCGTTTTTTCTGTTTTTTTTTTTTTTTTTTTTTTTTTTTTTTTTTTTTTTTTTTTTTTTTTTTTTTTTCTTAAATTATTTTTTTCGTCAATCCTGTTTTCGTATCCAGTTCGATTACTCTTTCGACGCTTTGATCGTTCTGCCTCGGTCGATGGCACTTGGGCTGCATCCCGGTCTTGGGCTATGCGTTTGCGAAGGCTCAGAGTAACGAGTCGACGTTACGAGCGACGAGGTGGAAAATGTCGGTTTCTTATGTAATTTCATTTCGACGTCAAAGCAAGGGCGGAGGGGGGAAAGGGGAGGCGTCTTGCCAGCCCGTACAACGTCGAAGAACAGACCTACCCTTGGTCTGGAAACTTGTCTGCTCTTTGTCCTTGTCTATTCTTTTTAAGCTTTTTTCTTTCTTACGTTTTTTCTTTTCTTTGCTTGCTTAATACCACGTCGCTATTACGTCTGAAAACGTACCACTAATTTTTACGCTCGGCTCACCCGCCGAGAACGGACTTGTACTCGGGAAGGGTTACCACTACGGAAAGGCCAGAGGCTCGCGCTGGCTGGGCTTTTTACGAGGCGCAATTATTTCGGATTATGCTCGATTCTCTCCCTTTATATATATAGCTACGTAATAACGAGATGCCTGTACCCTGGTGATCACAGGTAGTGAAATTACATGACGAAGTGTGTCCTGTGGCATTTGATGCCAGACAAATTGTATTGTAGAGAGCACAGGCGGCATATTGGGTCTATGGATGGTATAATGGGTGACGGGTGACTGAATTCAAAATGCTGCTTTAACCGGATGGGTTAATTTGTTTATTAGAAAAGTTTATCTCTCTCTCTCTCTCTCTCTCTCTCTCTCTCTCTCTCTCTCTCTCTCTCTGGGGAGCTTCATTGTAGAACAATTGGTAGAGAAACGTTGTTTACTCGTATCAGTGAATTCTGAAGTCTAGTGCGACGTAAGTGAAAACGACTGGGGACTCTAGTCTGGCTGTATGCGCTGTATGCGCTGTATGCACAGCCTTATGGATTCGAATGTAGGTTAGGTTGGATTTTCGTATATGGACTTTGACGATGGATAAGAGTCCCCCGCGTGGATTATAACGTATCAGCATTCGCGGCAAGGAAGCAAAGTCCCAAGTAAACAGAAAATTACACGTGTATCCCGCTCAAGTCTGAACTTTCCCGTACGTTTCCATCAGGCGAGTAAACAGCGCGGCGCTTCGCCGACTGTTATAATAATTCCTAGCTATAACCTGCAAGTTGGCCGTTGGGGCTTCCGGGACGAAGAGGCCTCACCGAATTCAGCGGGAATTTCACGAGGAAAGAGGGAAGAACGAGAGGAGACGGGAGAGAATGGAAGAAGGAACTTGTCTCTGCTCTGTTTGCTTGCAAGAATCGACGGAACGAACGTAAAACGGCAATCGGGGTTATTTGCCTCGATTCGCTGGTCGTTCTGCAAAAATTTTAATTCCATTGGAAAAGATGGCGTCCAATTTTTTTTTCAATATCAATTGGGGGGGGAGGGGAGGGCGAATGCGCGAAAGAAATTTTTTTTTTCCACATTTAACCGTTCCTCTAATTACTTCCGACAACATGGGAAGCCAGGGACCGTCGTAGTAGGGGATCAATATTGTCGCTTACGTCGACTGGCTTTGAATTTACCGCCGTTTTCGAGAACACTCGGGTTAGATCGTGCAATGTCCTTGGAACTGGGAAAGCGAACTTTGGGCTTCCTAGGGTCTTTCGGGTCCCTTCCTTGGATGGGGAACCGGAAGTCTGGGGCCGAAGCGGACTTTATCAGTAACGCTCGAGGAATCGCAAAGGTATGTCGTAACGATGAGAGAACATTAGGGCAAAGTTAGTCCTTTTGCTGGGAGCGTAGCTCTCCTTATTCTGATTAATTACCATAGTCTCGATGGGTCTTGAGTCCGCGGAGGGTT